AAAATACGTAACATGTAACTAGTTACTTCCCAACACTGCCAATAAGTAATATCTCTGTCTTATCCGAATTCAGTAGGTCATCCAATCTTTTACATTTTTAACACACTCTGTTAGCTTAGATAATTTAGAAGTTTCATCTGGTCTTGTTGAGATATATAGTTGAGTATCATCAGCATAGCAGTGGAAACTAATCCCATATTTTCTAATAATTTAAAATAACAAGGTGTTTATATGTGTGTTTGTGCATCTGACGGTCCATATACGAGATGTGCATGCAAACACTCACAGGCAGAGGCAGATGGTTGCATTACTCATCTGAGACTCTAAAACTGACACATATTTTCATCCCCCTCTCCTTCTTCCTTTCTCAGCAGAAACGCAGCCCACAGTGCTGTGCGTTCACACATCCAAACCTCCCCCGTATTCCAGCAAGACGAGACGCTTAGATAGAACAGGGACTGCTGTCTTAAAGCCTCACCATCTTTGCAACAGCCACACCAGTGAAAAAAACAAACACCTTGAGTATAAGATAAACAAACAAACATGTCAGCAAACCAACAAAGCCACTTGCTTCATAAATAAGGCATGATTGAAACACTTTTTAGATAAATACCGAGCCATGTTGTACATGAAGGTCGTGGTATGAACATTATACTGATGGCAACAGATAACCGACAACATTTTGTGTTGCAGTTGTATTTTGTATTTGTTTATCCCCACGTCTCACTAGAGTTTTTATGCACCCTAATCTGAATCCAAATGATTGAAAAACCTCAGGGTATGGCTGAGGGATTTTTATGCCAACAGATGTGCCTTAAATGTCTATAATAGGATTTCTAACAGGTTGTGAAAATGACAAGTTAGATGGTAATAACACAGATAAGACATAATTCACAACTGATGCCCTTTCTACATTCCTGACTCATGCAGGCCTTAGTTATTTCTCTACTAGATTATTGCAGCTCACTTGTTTCTGGTCGGTCTGCATCTGTCATTTGCCCCCTTGAGCACAACCGAAACACTGCCTGCTGCCCGACTTGTATTCAATCTGCAGACATTTTCACATGCTATGCCTTTGTGGCAGGAATAAGACTCAAGACAGCTTTTCTGGCCTCCAGTGCTGCAGTCTCTTGTTGCCTGTGAGCTGTGATTCACTGAAATTTACTTTTTAATGTGAGAATGACCTCCCAAAAACTATCAACCACCAACTCACTGGCAAAAGGTCTGGGCTATCCTTTCAAAGCATACTGTTGAAAATAACAGCTAAAACGGTATTAATCTCTGCTGAAGCAACACATGTTGTGGTTTTTGGAAGCTGGTATCCCACCAACAGGATTGTGCATCATTCAGAATTGAATTGAGAAAGTTGAATTTCATTTGAATTGAGGATGAAGAATTACGTCTTGTATAATTCATATAACATGCAGAATTTCAGTTTGAATTTTAAAAAGTATAATTAGAACAAACTGATATTCAAAGAAATGCATATAACTGTCAGACCTGTGTTCCTGTTGTGTTGTGTTTTGCTCCCCATGTGCTCCCCGTGACCCAGTTTCTCCCGTGTCTGCTTGTGTGCACTTGATTCACCTGTGTCCCCTGATTATCCTCATTTAGTTCCAGTTACTTAAGCCCAGTGTTTTCCTGTGTCTAGCGTCCAGTGTTAAACATCTCTCCTATGTTCTACGTGTGTGCTCCCAAGTTATTTGGATTCATTAAAGATTGCCAAGTTGAAACTCCTTCGTCTCTGCGCTCCTTCGTTCCCCACGCAGTAGAACCGTGCCAGAACACTGGACCAAACAGTAAGCGGCGCCCCTTCTCCCCGTTTTTGTTTCCGTTTCTGAAAGTTTTTGTTTCCGTTTCCCTGTGGTCATGGAAGCCGCCACGAGATTCGCTGCCCTAGCCCGTAAGGATCTTCCATTTGTAGAGTTAGCCCGGGAATTCTGCGGGCTTGCCGTGATGCCGTGACTTAATTCTTTGTTCTGGATCAGGGCCAATTACCATCGCCCCGTGGACCTCCCAGACACCACTGGACTGAGCTGGTGGGAAGGTATCCTCCGGTGTCTGGAGAGTTTCCGGCCCCGATCCAGAACCAGCTCTGCGTCAAGCCCACCGGCTGCTCCAATGTCAAGGCCGCCGGCCGATGCACTCCCAAGCCCTATTATGACTTCAGCATTCTCTTTAACCTCCAACCAAAAGAGAAGTATGAGGAGGAAAAGACTGATGGCTCGAGCCCCTGACCAAAGTCGAGGAAGGGCTCCTGTTCCCCATTGCAGCCCAGAGAGGGCTCTTGTTCGCATGTCCAGCCCAGAGAGGGCTCCTGTTCCCACATTCAGCCAAGAGAGGGCTCCTGTTCCTATGTCCAGCCCTGAGAGGGCTCCTATTCCCACGACCAGCCCAGAGAAAGACTCTGTTCCCAAGTTAAGCCCAAAGAGGGCTCCTGCTCCTACGCCTAGCCCAGGAAGGGCTCCTGTTCCACAGTCCAGCCCAGAGAGGGCTCCTGCTCCTACGTCCAGCCCAGAGAGGGTTGTGGTTCCCACGTCCTGCCCAGAGGGAGAGACTCTGTTCCCACGTACCGGCCAGAGAGGGCTGCTGTTCCCACGTCTGGCCCAGGGAGGGCCACAGTTCCCGAGTCAAGCCCAGGGAGTGCCGCTGCTCCTACGTCTGGCCCACAGAGGGCTCCGCCATGGCTCCCTGAACTGCCTGATCCGCCATGGGTCCCGGAACGGGTACCGCCCTGGAGGCCTTCCGTCCCGTGTAAGCCTGTCCCTAGAGGCCTCCAGAGCGCCTACCCCCCCTCCCTCATAAATTGGAAGTTATAAGGCACGTGGCACTCCCTTCCGGGAGGGCGAGGTAATGTCAGACCTGTGTTCCTGTTGTGTTGTGTTTTGCTCCCCATGTGCTCCCCGTGACCCAGTTTCTCCCATGCCTGATTGTGTTCATTTGATTCACCTGTGTTCCCCTGATTATCCTCATTTAGACCCAGTTACTTAAGCCCAGTGTTTTCCTGTGTCTAGCGTCCAGTGTTAAACGTCTCTCCTATGTTCTACGTGTGTGCTCCCAGTTATTTGGATTCATTAAAGATTGTCAAGTTGAAACTCCTTCGTCTCCGCGCTCCTACGTTCCCCACACAGTAGAACCATGACAATAACCATATAGCAATAGTTTTTTTTTTAATTCAAAGGTTTTGAGAAAAGTATAAAAAAGTATTGAATTAAATTCTAGATAGATAGATAGATAGATAGATAGATACTTGTCATCCAACATTAGATCCATTTACAGGCACATCTAAGGCGAAACCTTGCCAAAGTGTATGTTTTTCACAGTACACTTCCATTTTTAGCTCAGACTAAATAAGGAGCCACACAATAACTATCTGAAAGTGTTGACATGATGCGAGGATAGAGGTTTATTGCGGATGCACGACATCAGCAGCACCTTTTACTTTAAGCTATAGGTATCGCTCATTCACGTGGACATTATTTTTCTTTCTGTCTACAAATCAGAATATGCACATGAAAGAGTAAGACCCTGACATAAGATGCTGTGTTTGGATTAATCTGCTTTGTTAAATATTTTAACAAAGACAAATCTATGGCAATATGGTGAATAAATCACCTTATATAGGTTGATAATGCAGATGCTGTGAGCTGAAAGTGTATATAGATTTGTGTGGGTTGGGCCAGGGGATTGAAGTTGACATTACAAATGTATGCATTTCAGTGTATCACTCTATTTCATGAAAAGATCTAGAACCCTTTACTCATGCTCCTGCTCACGGAAACACATTTTTCTCCTTCAGTATCACATCAGAGGGTTTTCCCAGCTGTGATGTCCAAGCCAAGGGCGAAACTGAAATAAATAACAAGAGTTATTTGAACATAAAGGCGACACATTTGTACCTGACATTTGAACACAAGGTGGAAGAGAAGATAGCACTGGTATATATCTATATCTGAAAGGTAAAGCAGATCAATGAATCCCAAAGGGATATTTGGGGGTGATCCCAAAGGGATTTGGGATTTGTATATTATTATCCATCCAAAAATGAAAATTATATCAATATTTAATCACCCTCAAGTTATTCCAAACCTTTGTGACCTTTCTTCTGTGAAACACAAAAAGAAGAATGCTCTAAACTGAGACAACTCTCAGTATTTTATTGTAGCTACCACATGATAAAAGAATAGGACACCTTGTTTCTGCAAGCTGTTCTTTTCACATCTCACATCAGAGGGCTTTCCCACGATGCTTTAGCCCAGGGCAAAACTCAAATAAATAAGAGTTATTGGAATATAAAGACATGACACTCTAATGTTGATGACTGGCCAAAAAGACAACAGTGTTGCATATAAATGCCTTGTTTCTTTGAAAAATAAACTTGCAAGGTACTGCAGAGCACGTGGTTTAGAAATGCACATAATTCATCATTTCTATATTGCAAAATGTTGGTATTATACAGATTATTTTGCAAAGAGTTCACACTTTCCCATGTTTACATGGCACAGGTTGCCCTGAATGCCAGCTGATCATTTGCATCCTTTGCGCAACAGGAAAGGGGCGCCTGGTGCCATGACGACATGTTTTTGCGTAATATTGCTCTCCCCGCTTCTGTCAGCTTCCGATCGGTTCCATGAGGAGCAGCTTTAGCATCAGAAGCCTCCCTCTCCCCGCCCTCGAGCTGGAGAACCCAGAGTCTCCAGCTCGAGCGCGCGCGGTGAGCAGGTGGCCGCCCACGAGCCAAACGCTGGAGAAACCGCGTTTTCCAAGCGCACCTCCGGTGGTTTGGCGCCAAAATATTTCTTGCGAACACAATTTACATTGAAATTGATGTCGCATGTTGCTGTGTATCACGTTTCCTCACTATAATTTCATAAATATTCATAGAAGTGCATTTTTGTAATTCTTAAGTGAGTTAGAACCCGTCTTCTTTAAAAGATGCCTCACATACTCACTCATTAAAACATTATTAAATAAATAAATAAAAAATAAAAAATGAGAGACCACCCGACCCGAACCTGGGCTACGCTCACTGCACACCTCCCTGGAGCCTTCACACACCACTTCAGGACTTTTTATCCGGAAAACGGGACAACCGTTACGACTTGCGGGCTGGATTAAATAATAAACATTTGGGAAACAGAGTAACATTATCAGAAGTGACAGAACAGAAACACACATTAACAGGATCCGCTGTGAATTTATGGATGCTTGTTGCTTTTTTTCGGTCCTATGAACACCTCTCTTCCACTGGAGCAAACAGACCTTCTTTTGTGTCATTGTTCAGGCAGATATTGCCTGTTGAAAGAATAAATACACCGAACTTTTTCTGAACAAGTTGGAGGAATAGTCGAAGGCTTTTTATGTGCAGACAAACAGATGGGACATGCCAACTTTTTCGAGGTAAACCCTCATTATCATCTATCTAGAATGTGATTAGAGACCCTACGTTTGCCCCATTTCAGCCCCACTTGACATGGTAATTAAATGAAATGCTTTTGCTTACACATAATAATATATTCAGTAATTTAATCACAGCCTCATATCAATTATGCCTTGTCTACAATAATTGAGTGATATCTCTTTTTACGCACGCATTGATGGAGACTAGGGTCATTCTCATCGACTCTGTTGGATCTTTTGTGTAGGCTACTCTTTATAAGTGTTACATCAGAGAATGACACGACAAATCTGTATAGGCCAATTCAGTTTGTAGAGGATTTCTGAACTCATATATGCATTTATCTGTGCTTGTCGTTCTCGTCAGACAGCTTTCGCTCTCCAAGGTACCTACCAAACTGCGGTGTTGACCATAAGAACAGTTTTGGCATAAGAACATGATCTCAGAACAAACATATCTGACAATTTTAGCTTCGCTGGATGCAGCTAAGCATGTGGTGTCTGTTTTTTTACATTGGCTATACATTGTGCACAATAGTTGCTGCTCGGATCTCCCTTGTGGAATGGGAATATACCTTCCCGTTTCGTGTCTCCTATCCTTCCCCGGCACAACATCAAAACCTACTCGCAAAACTGGTTGCAACATAAACCTGGAACAAAGTTTTTATAGGGTTTTTTTTTTTTGTTCACAACTTTTGTCTCTTTTTTTATTCGTGTTTGCCACTTAAATCGATTTACCATACAACACGTTGCCTATATTTCAATGCCGACTCTTGTATTCGGATATATTGATGCGTTTGGAGCATTTTTATGGAATATGACACATATTCCACTTTAAATATTATTACAGAACCTGTCACTTGATATTAAGAGCAAACCACTTGTGATGTAGAGCCAGTGCAGCGTTCAGCAGCACATGGAAAGAAAGAAAAGGTTGAGAGCTCGTGTTTTGTCCGGTTCAGTGACGATGTCTCTCTTTAACAATGTGAATAAAAGGCTAACTCCCATTTCTCTTTCCCTCTTTCAATTGCAAAGTACTTGATTTGCACGTTCTTACATGCAAAATCACCATTAAATAAATGTAAATATTTAAATTAAATTAAAAAATACATTGAAATTTAAAAAAATCTATAAATGATAACAAAGATGCCAGTATAATCTTACTAAAATAACACTTGCAGTATATGCAACATAAAATAATGAACAATGACTCCACTGCTGGCTCTCTTTTCGACTCTCTCGCTCTCTCTTTCTGTTAAACTGTCTTACCATATGCTGCTTGTAAAGTCTAAAGTAAGCTACATGCGCCATTAAACACCGACAGTATGGAAACTTCTCGTTTGGTAATAATAGATGTGGTGAGTGAGTAGAAGTTCCGTGTTTGTACAGTAGGGGGGACTGTGCCAGCGCTCAATTCCCTCCGTGGGAATAGGGGAATAAACGGCGATCACGGAGCAGGAGATGCCTCACTGCGCACTTTCAGACTCACCAGAGCCTCTGACTGCAGCACACGCGACCTCAGCCCGTCTGAAGCGCACAGCCGAGCTCCTCAACAACAGGTTATGATGCTGCTCGACCTGTGTGCTCTACTCTAAACCATATAAATACCTGAAAAAAATATGTATAATATATAGTCTATCAGCATCACCACAGCAATAATAACAGGAATGATCAGCTACATAATAAAAATCAAATAATTATAATAATAAGGGGTGAAATAATTTTAGTGTTATCATATGCCTTTCTATGGTATTCCCAGGGTCCACGGTTCATTGGGCCAAGTCAAAAGAGCCCACCTCAATGTGTCTGCGATATTCTGATGCGAAGATATGTCTGGTGCACATTGCTATACGGTTGCTAGGTTGTTCTGGCTGGTTGCTAGGGTGTGGTTAGGAAGTTGATCATGTGTTATGTGAACTGATGATATGTCCCCTCTGATCTCCATTTTTGAATGTAAGTCTGGGATGTTCAGCCTTTTTTCTCATTCCTGATCACTTTCTTCAATAAGCCATATGATCTGAGCTAAAATTATATGATTTCAATAAAAAAACATCATCAACAACAATAATGAAATAAGCCATATGAGTTGAGCTCTCGATAACATTAATAATTTTAATCATAAAAAACAATAAAATAAGCCATATGAATTGAGCACTCAATAATACTGATAATTTTAATAATAAAAAACAAAAAACATAATTTGAGCTCTCAACAATATTAATAATAGTATAATAAAATAAGCCATATGATTTGAGCTCTCAATAATTTTAATAATAAAACACAACAAGCCATATGATTTGAGTTCTCAATAATATTGATAATTTTAATAACAGAAACAAAAAACATGATTTGAGCTCTCAATAATATTAATAATTTAAAAAAATCTAAATAATAAAATATGCCATTTGATTTGAGCTCTCAATAGTATTAATAATTTGTATAATAAAAATAATAAAATCAGCCATGTGGCTTGAGCGTTCAATAATATTAATCATTTGAAAAATAACAAAATAAACCATATAATTTAAGATCTCAATAATATTAATATTAATAAAAATAAAAAATAAGAAAATATATTATTTATATATTTATAATCTTAAATA